ACAATCACAAAAAGACAAACATGGTATGTACTCACTCATATGTGGATTTTAGACATAGAGTAAAGAATTACCAGCCTACAATCCACACTGCCAGAGAAACTAGTAAACAAGGAGGGCCTTAAAGAGACAAACATTGTCCCCTGGAGAAGGGGAAAGGGTCATGATCCCCTGAGCAAATTGAGAGCATGGAAAGAGCAGGGAGGGAGCTACGAGAATGAGAAGGGAAGAAGAGGAAGGATGCAGAGGTCATGAGGGAGCAGATAGGTTGAGTCAGGTGTAGATTAGAAGAAAGGGTATGTGATAGGTAGGGTTTTAGTTGGGGGGAGGGTGGTAGGGGAGGACGGGAGGGAGAAGGAAACTGGGATTGTCATGTAATTCAATCTTGTTTCTAATTCAAATAAAAAATGATAAAAAAAAACTGTGATTCCTCTTCTATAAGCTACCTAGAATATCAAAATAATAATATTAATTGCCAAGAGCTGTATGAGTGAGTTTGGATACACTGCCACAAATACACTTAATTCACTGAGTCACATACTTAAAACTGGTTAAAATGGTAAATTTCATGCTACATACATGTTTACCAAAAGTTTTAATTCTTAAAAATTCTGAAATGGGCAGTGGTGGTACACAACTTTAATCCTAGCACTTGGGAGTTAGAGGCAGGTGGATCTCTGTGAGTTCAAGGCAAGCCTGGTCCACAGGACAGCCAAGGCTACACACAGAGAAACCTGCCTCAAAAAAGAAAAAAAACTGAAATATGGTTGTAGTGTATTATTGGATTTATAAAATTTGTATAAGCATAAGGAGTGGTAAAATAGCACAAAACACAAGAGGAAGAAATAACGGTGTACTGGCAGCATGGTGGATCACTCCCAGGATCTCAGGAACCAGGAGGCTGAAACCAAATGATTGCATGAAATTTAGGCCAGGTTGGTCTACTTGTAAGTTTTAGGCCAGCCAGCCTAGAATATAGAGTGAGACCTTGTCTCAAAATAGGTTGCAGGGAGACAGAGAACTATATATATATTCTTATACAGTGGTGTAACTGTGGTTAAAGATATATGCATTAACCCTAAAGCAGCCACTAAAATAATATAATAGAGAGTTACATAACTGAGTTTATCAAAATGGCTCAGCTCGTAAAGGAACTTGCTATCCAAGTCTGATGACCTGAGTTCAGTCCCAGAACCCACATAATCAGAAGATAGATCCGACTCTTGGGCATTGTTGTCATACCTTCACAGAAGTTCACATATACATATGCAAATTAATTCATGTAAAAATTGTAAGAGTTCTAATTGTACCCAACAGAGGGACTGACTAGGACACATGGAGTAGGAAACAAGCTCCAGGTGAAGCGATTTACAGATAAAAGATCTAATAACCCTGGGATCTGAAATACTTGGTGTAAATGTAGAGATTAAGATAATGGATTTAGGGGGCAGGGAAGGGAGAGGGAACTGGGATTGATATGTAAAACAATCTTGTTTCTAATTTAAATTAAAAATGGAGAAAAAATAAAATAAAATCTGACTTTCCAAAAATATAAAGAAAAAAAGATAATGGATTTTAAAAAAAGACCCATCTATGTACTACCTCCAAAACTGCTCAGCCAGGCAGTAGTGGTACACACCTTTAATCCCAGCACTCAGAAGACAGAGGCAGACAGATAGCAGATAGATCACTGTGAATTCGAGGCCAGCCTGGTCTACAGAGCAAGTTCTAGGACAGCTAGGGCTATTACAGAGAGAAACCCTGTCTTGAAAAACCAAATATGTGTGTGTGTGTGTGTGTGTGTGTGTGTATATGTATGTATGTACGTACTTATGTATACATATATATAGTATACATATAACATATAAATGCATGGGATTAAGGAGGTATTTCAGGAGCATGGTACTTGTATAAATAAGTGTTCAAATATAAATAGGTTAAAAAACTGGAACATGCATACCTTAGTAACACAAATTAAAATAAACTTTTAAGTGGTTACATTAATGCAAGAGTAAATTTCAGAGTACAGCTGTCTCTGGGGATTTAAGTTATTCTTTTTTTTTGGTTTTTTTTCAAGAAAGGTTTTCTTTGTGTAGCTTTGGAGCCTATTTAAGTTATTCTTAATAAAGCAGTCACTAAACAAGAAGACATTACAGTCTTAAATGCCTAGTAACAAAGCTTTATGAACAGAGGTGAGAACTGGCCTGCCTTCTCAGTCACTAAAAGATGGACAGCCTAGGAGCAGCTAGTGTAGAAAAGACTTAAATGGCCAGCTGATGTAGCCTGGTGAACACTGGTAGAGAACTTCATCCAACAAAAGCAAAATATACATTGTACTGACGTGCATTCTAGGCCATAGAACAACTGAGTCAAGTTTACACAAAATATAATATGTCCACCAACCACTTGAAATTAAATAAATCAATAGCAAAAAAAACTCAAGAGCCCCCAAATATGTGAATATTAACCTATGGTCTTAGGAAATCAAAAGAGAAAATGTAAACCATTTGAACATAACAGTCCATCAAAATTTGAATAATGTCTCTAAAGCAGTGCATGAAAGTAAACTGTGAGCTCTAGCCACGGGGTTTCTACATGTTTTTAAATGAGTATCACATATACCTCTTAAATGTATGCAGTTTAAGCCCATTGTATCTCTTTAAGGCTGGGGTTTTTTTTGTTGTTTGTTTGTTTGTTTGTTTTCAAGTATTATAGATGGGATTCAGATTAAAGAGACTTGAAAAACATAGCATATTTAGACTTTATATCCTGGTTCATACAAGCCAGCTACCAAATGACATTCTGGGACCTCAGTGATTAAGAGCATTTATTAAGTAAAACAGTACCATCAAACAAAAGCCCCTGTCAGAGATGGAAAATGAAGACTGGATGAAGTGACAAGTTGATATCCTTAAAATACAGGGGGATTGTTAGATGAAATTACAAGCAAGATATTGATAGTTAAAGCTGGGTGATAGATACAAAGATGTTCAGTAAATTATTTTATTTTGATTTTTAATTTTCCCCTAATACTCTCCTGTTTTTCTTTTCTTTTGAAATCCTTACAACACAGTGTGAGGTCTCCCTTGTTTTTTTACCCTCCCCACTGCTTCAGCTTTTTTATCTGCCTCTGCTCAGTTAAAAATCTAATTGTATTTAGAGTGGCTGCCTGAGACAATCTCAGTTTGTGTCTGTTATCCAGTGTGAACTCATACTCATGCAACATTCTGATTCTTTTGTCCAGAATCCCATCCTGTCCCTGGCTCCTTATTAGGTCCTCCTTGCTTAGTTTCCCAAGTCTTAGCTCTGGCATCACTTCCTCAAAGCCTTCACTGGCATTCTTCCCTATTCCTAACCTGTCACTCATCAACACATGAAATGCATTCCTTGGTCATTTCCTAAGTTCAGATGGATCCTTAAGGCTACAGACTCACTCTCATGTCATCTTTGTTTTGTTGGTGTCCAGCATTGCTATTTGTGACTGGTGATGTTGGAGAAGTACAATTTTAGAAATTACCTGAGTTAAAACTAGACAAGCAAACACCCTTTTCTAAGATCACAGAGAATAGTGTGAGCTGAACCAGAAGTAGACATGTCAGTATGTCTATTCTCCGTGCTGCAGTAAGAACTTAGTGGGGGCTTTTGTGGTTTCTTTTGCTAAGACAGTTCATTGGTAGAGCACACTGGAAAGGCTTTCGGGGCAAGAGTGGCTGTCAGTGCTAGAGGATGTAACAACACTGATAGCGTGGCATCACACAGTGCACAGAAACAGAAGTGACTGGATCACGTATGAAGAAGAATCTATGGTATAGCTGCCAGCTTTTTTAATTTGTATTGCTTTTCCAGAATCCACTTATCTAATATGACAGAAGTGGTCTAGGATAATAGAGACATTATATCACTAATTATTTAAAATAAAGATCATATGTTCACTTCAGCATCAGGTACTAAAATGAGGACCATTATTTATAGATCTTCCACTTAATGTCTTTTTATTTTTCTGTTTTCTTAGCGTCGTCTTGGAGATGCAGCCAAGAAGGCCATCAGTAAATTGACAACTAGAACAGTGAAAAAGGGTGATAAGGTATAGTAATGAAATTACTTTGGTCTTTGAAATCTCGCCCATGCTTTGTCTGTCTGGAAAGCCTTCAGCTAGTCTTTCAGCTTTCCTGAACTTCAGGTACTCTTGCTATTAGCAGCGTCAGTGACTACTCACAGTTAACACTGACTGTTTCTCTGTAGTTTTCTGCTATTACAGCCAAGCACACATATTCCAGAAGTTCTGAGACAGTTTGCACATAGAATAGCCAAGAGAAGTACATTATCTTCTATTTCTTAGGACTGCTGCATCTGTTTTGGGTTTTGTTTCTTCTTAGTTAAGACCTGCCTAAAAACCTTCATTTCTAGGGAATTTCAGTTAACAAGGGCTTTACAACAGGCTGACACTTGTAAAAAGAACAGTTTGTCAGTGTTGGGCCTAAAGGGGACCAAGTCAAAAAGACAGCAACAAATAGCAGAGCTGAAACCGTTTTCACAATTCCTCAGTCAGCGCTCAAGTGCCAAATGGCATCTTAGTGTTAATTTCTATACTCAGTATATTCAGACTTAGCAAGTTTGAATTATTATTAAAAAATAAAAAGAAATCTCAAAAGGCAAAAAAAAAAAGACAAGACAATCTGGCACCCAACACCCTTTCAGAGAACTCTGAAAGGAAGATTTTGTATGTGACTTGTCTATTTTCTGTGTTTTGCCACATTCTTTCTTTCACCATTTTTACTCCTGTGCCTGGGAATACTGGAACTGGTTGCCTTCAGCACAGCTGCAGAGGTAGACACATTCTCACTGAGTATCACTGCACACTAAGGAAAGGGCACTTGCAGAAAACAGACTGCATCAGGACAGTTGCACTTAACCCTAGACCAGTTCCTGGTACAAATGCTTTCTTAGCTTGTCCAACTACTATTAATTAAAAAATCCCTGGATTTGGTACAACCTCCCTATCCTCTTCTACCCCTCCCCAGTACTAAATAATCTTTCCTATAATTATGAAAGCTAGCACACTTTTTGTATCCCTTGGACCTGCCAACCATGTGGCAATGGCTTAGGCTATTGGCATACTTCATTTTAAGACAACTCTAGGGGAACCCTTCTCAGCCTAGAGGATGAAGGAAGTCAATTAACCTGGTGACCAAACAAGTGATTGGTCTTTCCTGATTCTTGATAAATACTCAGTATTGAGTTAAACTGGTAACTCTCCAAGTCTGATCAGAGTGCAGTTTTCATACTTGAGTTAGGACTATAGCATAGGAGTCTACTGGGTACTCCCCATCATATGTAGCTGTGTTTTAGGAATTGATTGGCTGCATGAGCCTCTTGATGAGGATCTTAATATTTTAGATTGTAATAGTGAAACCTGTTGAGCCTAGGTTACAGTAATAGAGGAATTAGGGTAGACACATAATAATCCAAGGTGATCTGCTGTGAATTGTGGAAAAATAGAGCTCTGGCTTATTCTAAGACATATCATAAATAGAATTAGTATGGATTGTGTGACTGGTTCATACATAATTTGGGTCAACCTACTTAAGCAAATGAAAAGTTACTATTTTAGTTCCTTTCCCATTGTAGCCATCTGCTTACCATAGCATTGTTCCGAGCTGAGTTGTAGCTCTTGTGTGCACACACTCAGCTCCTATGCTTTTTGTTTCAGGAAACAGACCCAGACTTCGATCACTGTGCAGTCTGCATAGAGAGCTATAAGCAGAATGATGTTGTTCGGATTCTCCCTTGCAAGTATGTCAGATTTCTTTGTTTGAAAGGAATGGTATTGATGTTTATAGGTCTCCCTTCAAGAGTAGGTATCTACTTGCTCCTCAGAGCCACCTGACCATAGCTCTCCAAGGCCTGAATGCTGATAATGGGAGATCATGGGCAACTCTGACTAGTGTCCCTCCCAATAATTGTTTGCATATGTCTATAAGAAACACAAGGGGCTGGAGAGATGGCTCAGGGGTTAAGAGCACCAGCGGTTCTTCCTGAGGTTCTGAGTTCAATTCCCAGCAACCACATGGTGGCTCACAACCATCTGTAATGTGATCTGGTGCCCTCTTCTGGCACGCACTGTATACATGGTAAATAAATAAATAAATCTTAAAAAAAAAAAAAGAAACAAACAAACAAACACAAGACAGCCTGGCGTTGGTGGCGCACGCCTTTAATCACAGCACTCGGGAGGCAGAGGCAGGCGGATCTCTGTGAGTTCGAGGCCAGCCTGGTCTCCGGAGTGAGTGCCAGGATATGTTCTAAAGCTACACAGAGAAACCCTGTCTTGAAAAACCAAAAAAAGAAAAAAGAAAAAAAAAAGAAA